CATCAGAATAGCAGAACTGTGACAAATAGGGATGATGCGAATAATCTTCCGGAGCCTTTGAACGACCGTCAGGAGTCAGGATCCTGTGGGATATTTTCGAATTCAGATCTGTTGTTCAGTTTGTTAAACTTCACCTCCCTTTCCTAAGTGAGATGGCCTCCGAAGATTCAAGGCGATCCTTTGGAGACGTCGAAAAGGGCTCAGAGACCCGTCCCATCTTGCATGGACAATACTTGGATGATGTGGAACGCGCAAGCCACGAAAACCAAGTTTTGTTATCAAAAGTGGACTCGACGGCATACGAGCAGACTCAAGACATTCTCACTAGCAAAGCCAAACAATATGGAGGATATTACAAGTCTGATGCGGTTGGGTCACGTGTAAATGCATCTAAGGTGCTCTTGTGGGTTGGCGCATTCGTGGGAGGTGTCGTAGCCACCTTGGTGTTGCAAGCTGTTTTTCCAGTCCCTCAGCCACCTACTTCAAGATACTCAAAAGCAGTCGGTCAGAATCAGGCTGATCATGTTGCGTCGAGCTCTGTACGACATTTCCCTCCAATCAAGCCATCCAATTGGGATCCGGAGAAGTTCCCAACCAATGTTGGATTCGAAGGACCAACGCCCACTGGAGTTGAACCCGGATTGGCGGCTACTGCTCCAGCGTACCCAGTTCATACAGGCGTTCCAAATCTTTTAGGTCCTACCGCCATCAAGGGGTCAAAGGGCAAAGAGGGCTTTGATATCTTCAAACACTGGGGAAATTTGAGGTATACCTGAATTTCTATTCATTAAAAATAGCACATATCTAACAACGTCATGACCCTTCGGTATAGCCCTTGGTATTCAGTACCATCTGCTAACTTTGGACTACCAGGAACTAGTCCTGAGGCTCCCGAGGGATGCAGGATTACTGGTTTACACTTTGTGCATCGTCACGGTGCACGTTATCCGACTTCAGATAGTGAGTTATGGTCTGTACAATAATTTATCTCTCCGGCTGAATGGACAATAGGGCATTATGGTGGAACCTATGGACTCGCTGATAAGATCAAGGCAGCAAAGACATCTTCGAAATTCAAGGCGAAAGGTCAATTGGAATTCTTGAATGACTGGTATAAATTCAATTGGGTTCTTGAGACTGCGTTGCATATACTTATACATTACCAATTAGGACCTTCCAACTAGGCAGTGAACTCCTCACCCCATTCGGGCGTCAACAAATGTGTGAGTTACCTTTCATATGAATACCGAATTCGAGACTGTATTTGGGATTTCAGATGATTTGGGTGTCAATCTCCGCATCAAATACGGGTTTCTGCTGCAGGTATGGTCCATTGCCCATCTCAGAGTTACGTAAACAGCTAAGGTTTGACTTTACATAGAACTTCACGCAAACAGTTCCTGTCTTCCGTACGGAATCACAGTATGTTGGCAGTCGCTTACCTCCGAGACATGGAAGCTAACATCGCTGCAAGGAATCGTATGCTTCATTCAGCGCTCAACTTTGCGATTGGGTTCTTCGGTTATCCCTTCGCGGGCCAGTATCAGCAAAGTATCACATACGAAGCCAAACACGTGAGCGATGGCTTTCATACTCCTGTAAACGTCATACTGAGTTGTTTTCAGTTAAACAATACGTTGGCACCGTACATGACGTATGTGGTTGTTGGCTCGCTTTTTCAAAGCAATGACTCTTACGAAATTTCATTTACTGGAGGTGCGATAATGCTAATGACTCTCAAAAGGGCTACAGAGGTACCTGGTATGTGCAGAAATGGACTGAGATCTACCTGAAGACTGCACAGAAGAGGCTCGCAGCGTCTCTGGATGGAATTGATATATCTATTGAAGACACTTATGCATTCCAATTCGTGAGTACCATGAATCTGAGTTCCACAGTACGTGTAGGCTTATGAGAGTCTTTCCAGATGTGTGCATTCGAGGTGCTTCAATCCACTGGAGGATGTTTTGTCTGAACACTAACCCAATAATTCCAATAGACCGTTGCACTTGGATACTCCAAGTTCTGTGAACTCTTCACGGAAGAGGAGTGGGAAGGCTTCAATTATGCGTAAGTCATGTGTTAGTGTCTGACAATATCACAAGTCGCGCTGAAGCTGTTGCGGATCACGGAATGTAGACTCGACCTTGCGTTCTGGTGAGTCCCGAGATAACCTTGATATGGCAATAATCTGAATATTCCCAAGGTATAACTCTGCATTCGGCTCTCCAGTTGCCAGAGCTCAAGGAATTGGTTATATCCAAGAACTCGTTGCAAGACTTACCCATACTCCTATTGCTGTTCACAATTCTTCCACAAACTCGACATTGGACGATAACCCTATAACATTCCCTCTGGACCATTCGTTGTATGTCGACGCTACCCACGAAGTTGTTGTTCTCAACAGTAAGCGATTCATTGACGTCGTGTAACCAAAACTGAGCTCGACTCTATCGTTATTCAGTTATAACCGCCTTGAACTTGTCAAACTTTGCTGAAACAGGACCTCTGCCATATGATCACATTCCACCGAACAGGTCCTTCAAGTCTTCTGAGCTCTCCCCCTTCGGAACTAACATCCAGTTGCAGCGTGAGTCACAAGATCTACGCACCGGCATCGTATTACTGACACCTCCGATCAGTTCTCTCATGTGACTCTGTTCCTGGGGGTCCGCAGATCCGTGTTATCATCAATGATGGTGTGACACCGTTAACAGGAATCAAGGGATGCCCAACGAACAAACACGGAATGTGCCCTTTGGACACTTTTGTTGCAGCAATGAAGGAGAATATCGCAAAGACAGACTGGGAGTGGGATTGCTGTGGTCTTTGGGATATAGGGGAAGGAGACAAGTGGAATACTACGACTGGTGATCCTCCAAGCGAAGAAGAAGTGCGTCGCCACAATGGTGGCGGACCTGTAAAGCGTGAGTGCCATAGGTGGTAGATAGTCTGTCCTTAGCAGCTACTCTC